TTTTCAGGTATCTAAAAGGGTGTCATAAGGAGGAGGGAGAAAACTTGTTCATCTTGGCCTCTGGGGATAGAACAAGAAGCAATGGGCTTAAACTGCAGCAAGGGAGGTTTAGGTTGGACATTAGGAAAAAGTTCCTGACTGTCAGGATGGTTAAACACTGGAATAAATTGCCCAGGGAGGTTGTGGAATCCCCATCTCTGGGTATATTTAAGAGCAGGTTAGATAAATGTCTATCAGGGATGGTCTAGACAGTATTGGGTCCTGCCATGGGGGCAGGAGACTGGACTCGATGACCTCTTGATGGCCCTTCTAGTCCTAGTATTCTATGATTCTATGAAAAATGCGAGTCTGGGGATATGGATAACCCACCGAGAATGTGCCAGGGCTAGAATCTCAACATTTCCAGTCTTGACCCAAAAAGATTTTGATAATCTTTGATAAGTATCTGAAATGCTGGACCTTGGGCTTATCCCACATTGAGCCTTCCAGTTTTGCAAAGTTCAGCAGTGACCAACAGAAAAGACTGCTGCTGTTGGGGTTTGTTAGTTTTTTTTAGCTCCCCAGTAAAGAAGCTTGTATGCAGTTTGGCCTCAAGTTCTCAGCATAACGTTCTTCTTGCCCCCATGTAAGACAAGCAGGGCCATTAAACTGACTATTATTATCTTCCTTTATAGACGGTGAGAAGATTTGAGGGCTCCACAGCATCTACTCCAGCCTGGGCAGAGAGGGTCCGACCCCCTTCCCCGTTATCCAAGTAAATAGAGATTACTCTGTCTAATTTTAGGACAGGTCTGGAATCTGTCTTCCTCCTTCCTTTGACCCCCTAGTGTAAAGCAGCTCAAGCATAGCCCCAAATCCAGCTACTGTTTCCAATTTCTGCATCAAAATTTGGATGCACATGCAAAGCATCACAGCGCAGCTGGAAGGAGGAAGTGAGCTTATCTTTTGTTGCCAGAAATGTTGCCAGTATCAATGAACGGATTAACGTACACATGCAGGTAGGGTGCTGCCTCGGTGACTTTTTGGCCATATGATCATACCTGCAGATCATGAGAGTTCTCCTAATAACCCTTTTGAACTGAATACTTGTCAATACTATCACGCTCATGTCTCATGTTTCCACCAAAACCCTGTGATGGAATTAATGAGAGTTTGTCATGTGTGAGTAATATGTGAGTAAAACTGAGTAATAACCTTAAGATCTGGCCATATCTACTGCTTAGTAAAATAATAAGTGGTTTGAGTAAAAATAAGATTTGACTTTGTTTCATCTAAAGCTGAAATTTAACTTGGAACTTGTTTTGTACAAAGATTTTGAATTACCATTAACAGGGCTCAACAAACAATGTAATCTACTCACCCATGGCGAGTAGATTACACCCCGGAAGAACCGGCGCAGAACAATCTGCGCATGCACAGAACGCAGAACCACGCGGCTGCCGTGTGGCTGGTGAGCAGGGCTCACCGCAGCTCAGCAAGCCCTGACCATTCAAATATTTTCAGCAGATTCTACACTTCCTTTTCCCTTGAAAACAGAAGTTCTGAAATAACATAATTGACGCAGTCCCTACGGTAAATATCAACCTCAGCCTGGACCAGTCTACACAAGAGACCCACTTCCTGGATACTACAGTGTGAATAAGTGATGGTCACATAAACACCACCCTATACTGAAAACCTATTGACTGCTATGCCTACCTACATGCCTCCGGCTTCCATCCTGGGCACACCACACGATCCATTGTCTACAGCCAAGCATTAACGTACAACCGCATTTGCTCCAACCCCTCAGACAGAGACAAACAAGATCTTTACCAAGCATTCTTAAAACTACAATACCCACCCAAGGAAGTGAGGATACAGATTGACAGAGTCAGATGTGTACCCAAAAACTTCCTGCTACAAGACAGACCCAACAAAGAAAATAATAGAACACCATTGGCCATCACCTTCAGTCCCCAGCTAAACCTCTCCAATGTATCATCAGTGATCTACAACCCATCCAGGACAATGATCCCCCACTCTCACAGACCTTGGGAGGCAGACCAGTCCTCACCTACAGACAACCCGCCAACCTGAAGCAAATTCTCACCAGCAACTATACACCGCACCACAGTAACTCTAACTCAGGAACCAGGTATCCCTGCAATAGACCTCAGTGCCAACTCTGCCCACATATCTACACCAGCGACACCATCACAGGACCTAACCACATCAGCCACATCATCATGGGTTCATTCACCCGCACATCTACCAATGAAATATACACCATCATGTGCCAGCAATGCCCCTCTGCTATATACATCGGCCAAACTGGACAGTCCCTACGTAAAAGAATAAACGGACATAAATCAGATATCAGGAATAGTAACATACAAAAACCTGTAGCAGAACACTTCAATCTCCCTGGACACACAGTAGCAGATTTAAAAGTAGCCATCCTGCAACAAAAAACATCACAAACAGACTTCAAAGAGAAACTGAAGAGCTGCAATTCATTTGCAAATTTGACACTATCAGTTTTGGACTGAACAAAGACTGTGAACAGCTAGCCAACTACAAAAGCAGTTTTTCCTCTCTGGGTGTTCACACCTCTGCATCAGCTGCTAGAAGTGGACCACATCCTCCCTGACTGAATTGACCTCATTATCGCTACACTTCCTCTTAATTGGTACTCCCTTCTTTTCATGTGCCTGTATATTTATACCTGCCTTTGGACTTTCCACTACATGCATCTGATGAAGTGGGTCTTTGCCCACAAAAGTTTATGCTCCAATAAAACTGTTAGGCTGCGTCTAGACTGGCAAGTATTTCCGCGAAAGCAGCTGCTTTTGCAGAAAAACTTGCCAGCTGTCTACACTGGGCGCTTGTATT